ACCCTAAAGAATCATACCAACTTGTGGAAGATCAATGTCCCCTTTGAAGCACAGCCACCACAAAACCATACTTACTTTGAGATCATTCTGAGGTTAAATAAATATTTAAAATCATAAAAAGAAATATTTTATCAGCTATGATACTGTTTTGGAATCAAATCTTTACATAGCTATGACAGTAAACACTGTAATCTAACAATGCCTTGGAAAAAAACAGTTAATCTTTAAAAAATTAAGCATAGCTATACATAAACCCATATAGGAAATAAAAGAGTTATTGAATAAGCTTGTTCTAAACTCCTGAAATATTGGTGTTTCATATTTTAGAGCGGTCACTGCAATTTATGAAAGAAATTAATTAAATCTGTATGTGGGGACAAAAGCAGATGTAAGTAACCCCCTTTGTAATCCTTAACATTTTCATAAGTAACTGTAATTTAATTACACATTTTTTCTCAGTAACTGTAACTGATTACAATTACTTTTATTTTGTAATTAAATTACGTAATTCCGTTACATGTAACTAGTTACTCCCAACACTGGTCACATCCACGTGCGAGTGTGTGTGGCTGACACAAATTCACTGCTTTTTGACTTTTTAATTTAAACTGAACTCAAACCAACATGAGACATTATGAATACTGATTATGAGTGTATGATTCACAACATAGTAGTAGTTCCAAAATCACAGCTGTTTACTACACAACACTTCTGCAGCTATACTAACCAATGCAGTACACCTCAGATTTTAGCTGGTCATTCTGATTGCCCTCTCAAGTAAATCAGAAGCTCAGGCAACACCCTAAATGCATGGGTGTGTTTAAAATTTTTCCTAAAATGTAACGTTTATATTTTACACCTTTTCTATGTACATAATGTTGCACAAAATCAAACTCTTTTTGCTTTTTTTGTGGCCATCATTTTCTCAGGAGGTTGAAATTTTTACTTTAGGACTACAACTAATAATTATTTTTATATTTGATTAATTGGATTAAAAAGTACCGTTTAAATCTAGTTATTTTCTAAAAAGTTATATTACCAAAAAATTTAAATAAAATTAATTTAAAAAACATTCCACATTCTGCTCTGCCAGAAAGATGATGAGCAGGAGGAACTCATTGGTGCTGGCGCGGAGAGTGTGTCCCAGTACGCGCAGGCCCACAAAGTGTCGCGTCAGCTTGAAGATTCGGAGGATCCGAACGAATCTCACCACTCTGAGGAAACCCAGAACGTCCTTCGCTTCAGAAGAAGACAGGCCGCTCAGGCCCACCTCCAGGTAAAATGGCAGGATGGCCACAAAGTCTATGATGTTTAGGGTGTTTTTGATGAATTTCTTTTTGTCTGGACAGAAGGTGACACGCATGAGGAACTCAAAGGTGAACCACACCACACACACTCCCTCGATGTAGGTTAGGTAGACCACCGTCTCTGTCTCCAAGTGAAACCTGGAGCTGTTGTCTTTAGGGTTAATATATGTGCGGTTAATGATGGGGTTGAAGGCCTCGTGTGTCTCCAGGCAGAATGTGGTTATGGAAACCAGTATGAAGAACAGCGAGGCAAATGCCACCCACTGAAGGAAAGAGAGAACAGGGAAAACAAATGAGAAGGGAAAAACACAATGTTAATTTCAAAAGCCTTTTGTTTGCATCCTTCCCAAAAAGACAGGCTTAAACAGACATCTTTTGTAGCATTATACTTTTCTTTACTGTAACTTTTGCTTGATTTTATGCATCCTTGCAGAATAAAGTATTAATTTTTTATTTATTTTTTTACTTGCCGACCCCAAATTTTTAAACAATAGTGTAATTAAATATCAAAAGACTACTAAAAAAAAGCTCATTCTGCCATCTGGAAGAATCCACTGTGTGTAGCAATCTGAACAAATACAGAATAAAGTTACAGGCAAACAAACAGTATTGAAAATACACACTCTCAAACACAAGCTAATTAAAAACTAATAGAATAGCAACTGAATAAACAACTCATACCCAACAGAGCAGCGCTTCTATAGTGGTTTTGATATCATTGTCAATTTCTGTTCATATACAGATCACCTTATAATCAAAGGTGCATTTATTTAGAATTGTTCATGTTTAATGGCATTTAGGACCTAGTCTGTGTGTTAATTGTTAGTAAGGTTAACCACAAAAAGTACACACTCCAACACTGTGATTTTCCATATACCAGTCAGAAACAATCTAAACAAAACCAGTGATGATAAAACTAAGCTAGAATGATATAAGCGGTGATTTCAGGAGCTAAGGGCTCTCAAAGATGTTTTAAAGCGGGGATGTCAAACTCAGTTCCTGGAGGGCCACAGCCCTGCAGAGTTCAGACTCAACCCTAATTAAACACACTTGATCCAACTTATCCAGTCCTTCAGGCTTATTTGAAAACTACATGGTATGTGTGTTGGAGCAGGGTTGGAACAAAACTGCAGGGCTGCGGCCCTCCAGGAACTGAGTTTGACACCCCTGTTTTAAAGCATAAACAACATAAACAACTTTGCCTGCAGCTCATGGGATCTGGATCACTTTTTTTCTTGCACATCCTCTGACTTGTTTACTCACTCGTTCTCTTTTGAGTTTGAATATACATTGCAATGAAAATAGCAAAATGCCACAAAAATGTATGTTTTTCTCTGTTTTATTTAATCTTTTACACCCTAGTCTCATAGTTCTTCCCATAGAAAAGAAAAATCAAAAGTGAGATCTCTTTAACATCTCAAATATCTGTCCTAGACAGAAATGAGGTTACTTTAAGATCGAACTGAGATTTTTGCTTGAGTCTCCTGCCTTTCAAACTTGTCTCCTGAGACAAAAACTCTTAACACTCTCACAATGGTCTCTTTAAAGCTTTAAAAGAGATCTCAACAACATCACACACTGTGTGCTCAGACATTTCTACTAGTCTAAAGACTCTGGTGGTCTCATATTTGTCTCTTTTAAAGTTTTAGAAGAGATCTCAACAACATCACACACTGTGCTCAGATATTTCTCCTAGTCTAAAGACTCACATTTGTCTCCTTTAAAGCTTTAGAAGAGATCTCAACAACATAAAACACTGTGCTTAGATTTTTCTCCTTAGCTAGAGACTCTGGTTCCCTTTCAGTAGGTCACTCTCGACATCACGTCAGTGACCGACAAATTGGGAATCTCGCCAGAGAGATTCCCGGGTGGAGGCAGCAGCTGCCTCTGCATAATCAGCTTTTCGCTTCGGAGCCGAGCTGTGTTATCAATCTGCCCCTGCCAAGCCTTCGTGTGTCGAACGAGTCAGCGCTCTCAAAGGAGCTTCTTTGTGCGGGTGTTACGGCGCGACAGCGGGTTGGTCGACCTTCGTTGAGTGGGTGCAAACTACAGGCTCGGGTGAACGTCTTTTTAAAGATGGCATTTCACCCGTGCGTTTCTGGATGCGGTCGTTACCTGGCGCCGGGTGATGGTCATGATCGCTGCCTCATGTGCCTGGTCATTAAGCACGCTGAAGTGGCATTTGTGGATGAGTCATGTTCCCATTGCGGGAAGATGACCATCTCGGAGTTGCGGACCAGGCTCCACTACCTCAAAAGGGGCAGAGTTCCGGTGCCTCTGCCATGATCTAGTTCTCTTCCTGGCAGAAGTCAGGGGAGGACTACTTCTGGCAGTAGCTCGGGCGGTTTGAGGATCACAGTGGCGGCAACCCCTCCGAGAAACCAACCTCCCAGGGACTGCCAATCCTCTTGCACTTCGCAGCCAGCCGAGCTCCCTAAGGAACATGCTGGGCTCTCTACAAAGAGCGTACCAGCCCTATCCTTTGGGGCTCCTCCCGACGATCGGATGTCGATCACTGCATCGGAGGGCGAGCCTGGGCTCTCTGGAGAGGAAGATTCGGCTGTACTGCCGCCCTTCTGGGACGGCAGCAAGGCCTGAATCGGATCCGGAGATGACGGCAATGCTTTTCCGGGCCGCCGAGAGGGTAAGGCTCAAGTGGAAACCTCCACCACGTCCCGAGCCCTCGAGGTTGGATGACTGGTTTCTCGGGGTGGCCTGCGCTGGTTCTCAGCACCCCACTCCGGTGCTATTCTTCCCGGAGGTGCATGAGGAGCTCACTAGGTCGTGGATGGCACCTTTTGCTGCCAGAAACCGGCCTAGTAGTTCCTCCTCCCTCACCACCCTCGATGGTGGAGCAACCAAGGGGTATACGGAGATCCCCCCGGTGGAGCGGTCGGTAGCGTTGCAGTTGTGTCCTGGTACCGCTTCCACCTGGCGGGGCAAACTGGCCCTTCCCTCCCGGGCCTGTAAGCACTCGTCTGGTCTGACCAGCGGTACTTATGCGGCTTGTGGAGAGGCTGCCTCCACCCTGCATGCCATGGCATTACTGCAGGTCCACCAGGCTCAGGCACTGAAGGACCTGCACGAGGGTGATCACGATCCAGAAGTTCTGAAAGAACTCCGAACCGCAACTGACCTTGCGCTCCGAGCGACGAAGGTCACGGCGAGTTCTCTGGGTCATGCGATGCCCACGCATGTGGTCCAGGAGCACCATCTCTGGCTGTGTCTGGCCGACATGAGGGTCGCCGACAAAGTTTGTTTCCTTAATGCCCCTGTGTCCCAGACCGGCCTCTTTGGCGACGCAGTCGAGAGCTTCACCCAGCAGTTCTCGGCTGCACATAAGCAGACTGAGGCAATTCGACATATCCTGCCCCGGCGGGCAGCTGCTGCCTCCACCCGGCCGCAGCACCTCAGCCTGCTCGTCACTGAGGGTGTCCCCCTGCGGCCGCCCCCGCTCCCCCGCCACAGCAGCCTCCAACTAAGCAGCGCCGTGGAGCCAGTCGCAGGGCATCCACCCCGCCCACCCAGAGATGGAGGGAGTTGCTCTTTGGACGATGGTGAACGCACCACTCCCTCCCCCGGAGGAGGGCCGGGCAGAGAATCTTTTGTTTTGTTTTACCCCGCCACTGACCTCTCGGTCGGTGGTACCCAAACACTCAACAAAAGAGAAATTTCCTCTATTTCTGGGTCTCAAGAGGGCACGGAGAGTTGTGGACAGTCCAGAGCCGGATCACACTCATCCTCCTCTGTGCTGCCCGAGCCGGGTCCCTGCGTTCCAACTCGCTGCCCCACTGCGGGTACGTCGGTGGTTCCGCTGGTCCCACTTGTACGGTATCTGTAAGCCTGGCTGGCGCTGTCCAGCCCGTCTTGCTGGCTCCTTCGGACCATCAGACTCGGCTATGCGATTCAGTTCGCCCGGCGTCCCCCCCAAGTTCAGGGGCATACAGCCCCTACTTCATTGTACCCAAGAAAGGCGGTGGGTTACGACCAATCTTGGACCTGCGTGTCTTGAACCAGGCCCTTCACAGGCTACCATTCAAGATGTTAACGCAGAAACGCATCTTCAGGTGCATCCGTCCCCCAGAGATTGGTTTGCAGCAATCGACCTGAAGGACGCGTACTTTCATGTCTCAATCCTTCCGTGCCACAGACCCTTTCTGCGGTTCGCGTTTGAGGGACGGGCATATCAGTTCAAGGTCCTGCCCTTCGGGCTGTCCCTGTCCCCCTGTGTCTTCACGAAAGTTGCGGAGGGGACTCTTGTTCCCCTCAGAGAGCAGGGTGTTCGCATCCTCAACTATCTCGACGACTGGCTCATACTAGCACAGTCTCGGGATCAGTTGTGTGAGCACAGGGATTTGGTGCTCAGGCACCTCAGCCTGCTGGGCCTTAGGGTCAACTGGTAAAAGAGCAAACTCTTCCCGACGCAGAGGATCTCTTTTCTCGGTATGGAGTTGGATTCGGTTGAACAGACAGCACGCCTCACAGAGGAACTTGCTCAGTCGGTGTTGAGTTGCTTGAATTTGTTCAAAGGTAGGACAGCGGTCCCACTGAAACAATTTCAGAGGCTCCTGGGGCATATGGCAGCTGCTGCGGCAGTTACGCCGCTGGGGTTGCTTCATATGAGACCGCTTCAGCACTGGCTTCATGGCAGAGTCCCGAGGTGGGCGTGGCAGCATGGCACTCAACAGGTCCAAGTCACACCTGCCTGCCGCCACACCGTGGTCAGACCTCATGTTTCTTCGGGCAGGAGTGCCCCTGGACCAGGTCTCGAGGCATGCTGTGGTGCACACGGATGCCTCCACCACCGGCTGAGGTGCCACGTACAACGGGCAAGCAGTCTCGGGGGTTTGGATGGGCCCCCAACTGCAATGGCATATCAATTGCCTCGAGTTGTTAGCAGTGCACCTTGCCTTGAACCGTCTCAGAGAGCACTTACAAGACAAGCACGTACTGGTCCGTACGGACAACACTGCGACTGTTGCGTACATCAACCGACAAGGTGGTCTGCGCTCCCGTCGTATGTCACAACTCACCCGCCACCTCCTCCTTTTGAGTCAGAAGCATCTGAGGTCGCTTCGTGTCATTCACATTCCGGGCCTGCAATTCACATTCCGGGCCTGCACAACCGTGCAGCCGACGAGCTGTCTTGAGCTGTGCTCCCCGGAGAATGGAGACTCCATCCCTGGACGGTCCAGCTGATCTGGAGACGTTTTGGAGTCGCTCAGGTAGACCTGTTTGCCTCTCCAGAAACCTCTCACTGCCAGCTGTTCTACTCCCTGACCGAGGGGACACTCGGCACGGATGCACTGGCACACAGCTGGCCTCGGGGCCTACGCAAATATGCTCTTCCCCCAGTGAGCCTTCTCGCACAGACACTGTGCAAAGTCAGGGAGGACGAGGAGCAGGTCCTGCTTGTGGCGCCCTACTGGCCCACTCAGACCTGGTTCCCGGAACTGATGCTCCTCGTGACAGCCCCTCCTTGGCAGATTCCTCTGAGGAAGGATCTACTGACTCAGAGACGGGGCACCCTGTGGCACCCGCGTCCAGACCTCTGGAAACTTCATGTCTGGTCCCTGGACAGAATGCGGAGGTTCTAGGTGACCTACTCCAAGAGGTAGTTGACACCATCACTTCAGCGAGAGCGCCGTCTACGAGACACGCTTACGCCTTGAAGTGGAACCTGTTCATCGAGTGGTGTTCCTCTCATCGAGAGGACCCCTGATGATGTCCGATCAGAGTCGTGCTCTCCTTCTTGCAGCAAGGGTTGGAGCGAAGGCTGTCTCCCTCCACCCTTAAAGTTTACGTCGCTGCTATTTCCGTCAACCACGACCCTGTGGAGGTGAAAACAGTGGGGAAGTACGTCCTGGTCATCAGGTTCCTTAGGGGGGCAAGAAGGTTGAACCCTCCTCGACCTCCCTCTATACCCTCTTGGGATCTGTCTCTGGTGCTCAGAGCGCTACAGCGTGTCCCATTTGCGC